GGGGGGGGAAGATCCTAGAGGTAAAATACGACAAAACATCGATCAAAACAAACACACACACGCACAAACGACCTACAAAGGTTTAATAAAAAAGAGGAAGGTGGATGAGCACAGAGAAGCTGGCCCAGAAGGCGGGGAAAGCCTTCAGAAGACAGCGAGCTCTGAAGGGAGCACGGCGCCGTCGGTCAAAAAACGCCGCCATTTTGTGCTCCCTCCCCCGCCCCCCCCAAGCAGCACCCGGACGCCATAGGACGACGCACACTTCGTCCCCCGTTAGGCTCACGGCTCGTCCACGCAGCGGATGGGTGAGGGGAGAGAGGAGTGGATACCGAGAGGCTGATACTCACCCCTGGCCCCCGCGGGGCGAGAGGCGAAGGGAGGAACGGATCTTCTCAGACGCACCCGGAACCTCCGCGCCTGGGGGGAGGGGTCGGGGGGGAGCGGGAGAAGTGGTGCGCAGCGGCGCTCGGCTCGGCCAATAGAAGCAGGCGGCGGGCGCAAGCGCAGAACGTCGCTGCGGGCTGCGCTGCGAGGTGAGTGCGGGCCGGGCTGGGGCTGCGCAAGGATGGAGGAGGCGGGGAGGTGAGGGGTGTTTAGCCGGAGTTTGGAGCGGGTAAAGATGGAGGAGCGGGGTGGGGGTCTGACCTGCTTACGTGGGGGTAGAAATCACGGAGGAGGTGTCTTTGGCCGAGGGGAGGTGAAGGGGTTTGCCATAGAGTCGTAGCAGGAGGAGAGATGAGGGTTGTAGTGGAGCCTGGCGTGGAATTGTTAGACAAAAAGCAATTTTTATCTTCTCTTGGGTCTATATAAAAAGAAAGGGGTGTCATCTGATCGCTGACTCAAAGGAGGCCTTGGGAATGAGGGGACCTTTAAGATCATACTGTACCAACACCTGTCTGCTGTGTTGTTTTTGGGTCAGCAGTTGGCTGTGTTATATTTGGAGTAAGAAAAGGAAAGACTGTTTTTCATAGTGGGGAAAAGGGATGAAAGAGGGAAGGAAGTGTATTTTTGTGGGTTTGGAGAGGTTCAGCTTGGGGTAAGGAAGAGAATGGTGAGCCTTGGAGGTGTCAGGTAGGAGAAGGGAGCGAGTTGTGGGAGGAAAGGTGGGGAGAAAGAAGGGCTCACTGCTGAGGTGGGGTGAGGGACTGTGCGGTTTTGGGCTCCTTACTACAAGAATGACACTGAGGCCTAGGAGCATGTTCAGAGAAGGGCAGCAAAGCTGTGAAGTGTCTGGAATACAGGTCTTAAGGGGAGAGGCTGTGGGAACTGGGGTTGTTCAGTCTGGAGAAGAGGAGGTTCAGGGGAGAGCTTATTGCTCTCTGCAACTGCCTGAAAGGATGGAGCAAGATTGGGGTTAGCCTCTTCTCCCAACTAACAGCAATGGAGCTAGAAGTAATGGCTTTGAGCTGTGCCAGGGAAGGTTCAGGCTGGATATTTTCTCAGAAACAGTGGTAATGCAGTGACACAGAGCTTCCCAGAAGTCACTGTCTCAGAAGACATTCAAGAATCATGGAGATATGGCACTGAGGGATGTGATTTAGTGGGTATCTTAGTGTTCTTTTCTAACCTTCCCTGGAAGGAAAAAGAAGCAGGACTTAAGAAGTGGAGTTCAGTCTGTGTTTTGAAATAGAGGGGTCAAAGTAGGGTCAAGATCAAAGGGGAAGCTGATGAGTGTTAATATAGGTGGTGCAGGTGCTGTTGTGGGAAGTGAGGCAGCTTGTATTTAATTAGATGTAGGAGGATTTGCTGGAATTCTGATCTTGAAGAGGGCTGCTTTATATCAGGCATACAATCTGATTTTGGGTGGTGCTGTGTGGAGTCAGAAGTTTGACTTGGTGATCTTTAAGGGTCCCTTCCAACTCAGGTTATTCGATGGATAAGCCTCTCAGCCTTGAGCTGTCCTTTAGTAGGGATGTGTTGGTCTTTTGGAGCGAGGGAAGATGAATCTCACAGTACAGAGTTCTGTGAATCTTTTCCTGTTGTTTTTCTGGGTGGGTCACCTCAGAGTACATTGTGTCTTGTAGCATCGTTAGGGGAATGGCGAAGTTACAAACTTGGTGGGGGCAGCAAGTTAAACCTTTCATTAAAAAGGACTCACTACTTGACAGTCCTTATAAATGTTCTTAAAATAAAGGTTGCTGGGCTGACACAACTGTTAAAATTTGTCATTTGTGAGATGGTGTGGTTTGGAAGTAAGCCATCAAAGATAGAAGAGCTCCATAAGATTGCTATGAAGGAGGACCAAAAGTAAATATCAATACATTAGAGACATGTGGAAAAGAGTTTTGCAGTTAATTAGCAAGATGAGAGGAATCTGTGACTGAGTTTTGGAGGCTCTGAGGTAGGCACATTGTGAAGGGATGATTTGCTTATGAGCTGACAGCATCTTCTCAGTGCGTATGCAGCATCTCCTCACACCTGTGGCAATTAGTAATGCTTACATTTCATTAAGTGATCTGACAGCACTTCGCAGGAGAAGGTGAGTCACCTTCTTTTTATAGAATCAGCCACCACTCATATATTAGCTAAAGAATTTAGGCAATGTTGTGACACTGTTGGAAATAATCCCCATCTCATTACTGCTGATCCTAGTTCTTGCTGTGTGTGGTAGTGCACTCTGAAGGGCTGCTGTGTCAGAGGTGGAGCAGAATGTGAGTAATGTGCTGAGGGGAGAAACTGCCTGGGTTATCTGCTGGGTGGACGAAAGTGTAGGCAAACTTCTGTTTGTTCACAAAGCATGAAAGAATTCACTGTGAATTCATTTTAGTTGGCTCTTCCTCTTCCACTGCATAGAAATGGACCTTTCTAAGGAGTGTAACTCTTGTAAATACAATCAAGAGTTGGCTTATGAGATGGACAAATAGAAATTTCCTTAATATTAGCTCAAGAAGGGCACAGTTACAAAAATACTAGGATGACAGTATTTCTAGCAGCTCAGAAGCTATAATTGCAGGTTAGTACCCATCAGAGATGCATAAGATGTAATATACGAGCATCAGAGGAAAAGCAGATGTATAATGCTTTTTTTCCAGCTGACTTCAGATGGTTGTGCACATCTTTACTTTTGTTTGATGCTGTTTAAATTTGTCACGTTTTAATTAAACTTCATGAAGTCTTGTGTTAAATTAATAGCTCACTGTTGAATGCTTTTAAACAGCAGCAATGTTGTGTACCATGATATCTGTTTTGCTTGCTTTGTATTGAATAAAGTAATCGTTGGTTTTCCTCATGTGGATTTTCATTTATCCTATGTTTAAATTGCTTCTCTGAGGGGAGGGAGGGATTAAGTTGTGCAGAGCCACTGCTAGTTAAAGCATGATTATGTTGGGAAAAATGTACTGAAACAATAGATTTAATTAGCAAAAAGGTTTTTGTGTGGAAATCCTAGCCTCGGGCACAAAAAGAAGCTGACTATCAGGCAAAGCTTCTGGGCTCTCAGGTGAGTCAAAAGTCATATGACCCAAGGCACACACAATATATATACGCCAGTCAAGTGACTTTGTTTCTTCCTGTGGTCTGAGAGGACTTTTTTACTCTTAGATCCGGGGGTAAGCACACCTTCTCTGTTGGATACATGTAGCTTTATTTCACCTGCTCTCTTGGGCTTTGAAGAGGAAAAAGAAAACACTTAACGTACAGATGGACAGATTTGTAAACATAGCAGTTCCCAAAAAACTGTCTGAGGTTTCTGCAGCTACAGATAAAGGTAAGGAACTTGAGAGGTGATTTAGAAATGTACTTGAATGGCACAGCTGCAAGACTGTGTGTGTTTTTACATTTATACTAGTCATGAGCAGGCTTCAGAGAATGTGTTTTAACTGGGTGGTAGTTTGTAGGACTCAGCCTGTGGAAACAGGCTCTATGCTGAGATTTTACACAAATTTAAAGAGCTACTTGCTTGTTAACTGTTTCTCCTTGCTGTGGCTATGCTTTTGTTAAGATGACTGTTGCTGTTAGCAGAGACTAGGAGTTGTTTCCCAGTTGACACTGTTCTAATGTGCCTGTCCCAGCAGCGAGGGCTAAAAAACATCCTTTTTGCTTCCTGCTTTCTCTTGTGATCCTCTGCAATGTATATCTTTCAGTGCCTTGATTTCTTTATTATTTTTATTTATTCTCTATAAAATAGAACCTCAGTGGAAGAACTTGTTGTGGGCAGTATGCTGGTAGTTGGATTTTTCAGAAAAAGGCATAAGTGGCAGATTTCATGCTCTTGAAATTGGAGAGGTGGTAGGAGGTCCTAAACACGACACACTTGATGGGTAGGGAGGCTGCTGATGTGTTGTTTGTTTCAGTGAATTTCATTTAACTTTGCAATATGTTTAGAGTGTGAGAAGCTTGAGGATGAAGTAGGAGATGTTGATTTTGGTTTACTTTTTGTTTGCTATATACTACTGTTACCAGTACTTCTGAGAGAAGCTGAATGCTGCCTAAGTGTATATGCTGTCTTACAAGTGTGCTGAGTGGGTGATAATTTCAAATCTTTGAATGTGTGATATCAATGAGGGAGAAGATATCTTTGAAAATGTTTTACTGCATTGCAGAAACCAAAGTCAGTGTCAAATCCAGGCAGTTTCAGGCAGGTAAAGCTCTGTTTGTAATTTGTAGTGCCTGTTTAACAAAGCTGTAATATGGTTTAGTTTCAAGTGTCAGTGATTTTAATAGTAATGTAACTTTTATTCTCTTGCACGCACACTGATGTAGTTGTCAATTATGCTTATAGAAATTACAATATCAGTCTGGCAAGGGGTTTTGTAGAGCTCTAACTTCTCATTTATTGTGCCATTTAAGTAACTGAGTACCTTGTGATAATGCTATACATCAATCTGCAAATTATGCTATAATGCATTTGAGACTTTGAGAAGAGTAAGAATGAATAAGTGAGTAACTAAATCACCATTACGTAATGGTTGTTCATAAGGAATTAAGTCATGGAACGTAACTGGTCTTTAATACAATGAAAAACTAGCACTGTGAAGGAGATGTTGCAAGAAACAATCTGATTCTTTGGGTAGAAGAAATATCTTTGGGAATTTGGGAAGAGGTGCACATCCAGATATGTAATTTAATTTACTATTCCAAACTTGAGCTTGTTCTGCTTTAACCAGGTCAGGCTTTAAAGCACAAGACAGCTTTGTCTTTGTCTGCTTGGATTTGAGATAGTTGTGAGCAAGCCTTATGGGATTAACTTTGCATCATCAAGTAGCATCACAGGCTCCCAGGAAGACGTGGGCTGTCAGAGGTGTAGTGAAATTGCCATTGCCTTGGTGTTGTCAGTTTGCTCTGAGCTGAGCAATCAGTTTCCTTGGCTCTTTTAAGCCTCTGCCAGTTCTGCTGCTTGCTCTGCTATCATACCGATTGAGTTGTTCCACATGCCAGGCCAGCAGCACCTCTTCCCCATACCTCTATGACATCTTTTTTATCTGAGTATATTTATGATTTGATCTGGGAATACGTCAACTAAGCATTGATAGCTCAGAGTAGGAGGAGAAGGACCAGTTATTTCATGTCACTGTCATGGGTTTGTGTTGATGGCCTCGTGTTGATGCTTTCTTGAATTTTCTTTGTCCCATATGGTGATGGGGTGGGGAATGGAAGACTTCTTACATGATAGCTTTCCAGTAAAAAGTATGTGAAAGACTCAAAGTTGGTGAAAACAACACAACCACAGTTTGTGTTGCTGTTATTGGTAGGTTCTCCACCATGCAAAATGATGAACATAGGTGCATGAATGCGGAGTAATGTAATTAGAAAGCCCCTGCCCTTAGAGCAATATCCAATGAGTTAATGCAATGCTCATTTGAAGTTGATGCTGTTGTAAAATCACGTGCTGAAATGTAATGAGAACATTCTTAGAAGGGGAGGCAGTGCTGTTACGGAGCAGATGATATTACTGGCAACCCTGTTCAGAAAGGGTGAGGTGTTTTTTTTGTTTGTTTTTTAGAGGGAAATAGTTAGGAATGGTTTCCAAATCTTGTAAACCATCTGCAGCAGTTTCCAAATCTGTGTTGTGTAAGTACTCAGAAAGATATAGTATTGGAAACCAGCTGTGGATAGGATTCATTATTTGAGTGTTTTAATGTTAGGTTTAATTTGTTGTTAAGAATTCTCACCTAATTTTTTTTTTTTTTACTTTCATTCTAGTTTCTTTTTCTGGCTTTGAAGGTGTTGCTGCTGTGGAAGAGAATCTGAACAGCGAGCTGATGAACGAAGACATCCGTATCCATAGCTGGCCTTGTTCTTACTACTTGGACACCAACAAGCAATGGGTCTCTGGCAGACTCTCACTGACGCCTGTTGCGATCAAATTTACAGCTGACAAGACTGGGGAGGTTTTGGTCAACTTCCATCTTTCTAGTATCAGTGAGATCAAGAAGGAATCGTCAAATTTAATTTTCAGCTCTCTTACCATCTTGGAGAAGAACACCAAGCACTGGTTCAGTTCTTTGCAGCCCAGCAGAAATGCGGTGTTCAACATCCTTGAGCACTTCTGGAGGGAGCAGTTGCTGTCAAGTGAAGGCACAGGAGCAGAAGCAGCAGCCTTGCATACAACAAAAGGAAAGGAACTGACTGGGTTATTGACTGGGTCGCAGAAACGGTTGGAGGATACAGCAAAAGTGCTACATTACCAGGGCGAGCAGTTTGATAACATCATGAGAGGACTCAACAAGATTGAAGGGGATATGGATGTGGCAGACAGGTATGGTACTGTGGCATCTTCTGCACTAAGTAGTGGTTGTGGGATTGTATGCCATAAAAGAGAGCTACAGAAGTCTTTAGGAAACCAAAGCGTTGCTTTGCTGTAAAAGTTTAAGCTTGTGATGATCTCTCGTCAATCCAGTTCTTGTTGAGATGTTGAGCAACATCTTGATATTGCCTCTATTTCTGTCTTCCCTCCTGTCTAACGTTTCTTTTTCCTGGATAAATTATTTCCGTATGTGTCCTCTGTCTTTCGAATGACTTTTCAAGCCCTTCTGAGTTTCATTTATGATTGGCAGAAATGTTAATCTTTGAGAGATCTCAAGTCTTGTTTTGAGAAAATTGAAAACTAGCTACAGGAAATATACAAATTAATACCCCTGCTGAATGACACACTCTGGATTTTATCAGGTGACCTAGAATATACATGTGTGAAATATTAAAAGTTTAGTTTCTTTCCTAAGTCATGGAGTAGCCTATGTTGCTGTTACATAGTGAACACAATCGTGGTTTGGCTTTTCTGTTGGTTTGTTTTGTTTTTTCTCCAAAGGAAATGATGAAAATGGCAGGAGGTCTCCTTCTTGGAAATAGTTTCCTAGAGTTATCAGGTGACAGCCTCAAAATAATCTTTGGTTTAGCTAGACTGCATTCCTTTTTCTGTGAATTGAAGTCAACTCTTGAGGCTGCTTTTGTATGCAAAGTGTGTAGTTGAAAGCTTTGTATTTGCTGTTAGGGGCGGCAGTGAGGACAGTGTGGTGCAGATGCTGTCAGGGAAATGGCTGTAGATAGAATGCAGTGATTTGTGGTTATCTCAGACACTGGGTGACTAATTGTTTTTGAAAACAGGGTCTTAAGCATTGAGCTTAGGCAACAGAATGGAGCTCTGGAGAACGCTTAAGATGTTGTGTGTCTTTGGCTGTAGCAGAACTCATGAATAGTGAGTGACTGGTGTCACAGAATGTTTCAACTTCATTATTTAATGATTACCATTTAAAGTGAAATACTCTATGCAAGTTTGCGTGTAAGCTGGACTCGATAGCAGTCTAAAATAGACAAGAAGATTAGTAGTAGTATTATGTTTGAAGACCTGTAGCTATGAGTGTCTTTGTGGCAGCTCTGACACCTGCATAAAGAAACAAACCCACTAAAAGTTCAAACTGGTTGTTCTTGGAAGAAGCATTTGTTTTTAGAAAGATATGTCTCAAGGAAAGTGTTGATTTCACATTGATTTTGGTGATACTCCTCGTGCCCTTTAATGAAAAGCCAAGACAACGGAAAGCTTCAGCAATAGGTTTTAAAGTTTTGTAGCAATAAACAAAGAGTAGGAAAATAAACAGCTGCTCATTGTTTTTGGAAGAGGGTTTTGTTTTGGGTTAAGATGTGCTGGGAGGTATCTGGTGAATCTGAAGAGCTAAATGCTTTGATTTTTAAAAATGGAAAAATAAAGAAAGACATTGACCAAATGTTAGGTGATGCTTTATTTTATCTGAACTGTGTGGGTTTGAACCAATTTTCTCACAGACTAACACAAAGTTGGGAGTCATAAGCCACTCTGCTTTCCCTCATGCTTTTTAGGGAATTCTAACACTTGTTTTAGAATACATTGTGTATGTAGCTTGATTCAGTAAATCCATTCCCCCCCCCCCCCAACTCCTGACTGAAGGTCTTCTGGTAAACAGATGACATATTTCTTCATCTTCCTAAACAGTGTAGAAAATGGGTATGTTTAAAGCTCACTTGATTGTTGCGTGTTGGCTAATTCAGACTATTAACATAATTAAATGTGCAGATGTATCTTATGTCTCTAACTCTTGCAAACTTTAGAAACTTACTAAGAAATAACTATATGGATGAGATAATTCAGGGCCATTATACACATGCAAAAGACTTTGTGCAGACTTTGTGCAGACAGGTATTGAGAGGGAGCAGATTTCGGTGTGTATTGGTTAAAGCTTTTAATAGCAACACCAATATGATGGGGTTGTCTTTGATAAAACAAGCCAGGCTCCTTTTTCTGTTTTCATGTGTTTCAAACTTTGATTAACTTTGTGCCTGTATGTGTGGGCTTTTTTTGGATTATTAATTCTATTCTTGTGTGTGCCTGGGTATATACAGCTGCTTTCAGTGGAACTGTGTGCAGATAAGCAGAACAGAGTCTGACTTGCTAGCAGATGTTCACAGACCAAAAATAAACTGGTTCCTTATAAATATATTGCTATGAGAGGACAAGGTACTGTGGTTGCAAATTTTCATTTGTATATAAAGACTGATGTACTAGTTTGTTGATACAGGGAGGTGACTCCTCCATGGAAGGCCAGAGAAATTGGCTGGAGCCTTTGTCAGGGCTGCACAACGGAGAAATCTTGACTGTAAATCAGACATTGCACAGCCAGGAAGTTGGTCCCTTGGGAAAGGAGGGAGGGGAAAATGAGGGGATAAAGGGATAAAAATTAAGGCTAAAACCTATCAAGAGTAAGTTACCACAGTGTAAATAGAGGTTTAGATTTGTCACACTGCAGCTGTTCTCAGTAAGTAAACACACGTGCTCTTTTCTCACCGTAAATGTGATGAGGGAAGCTTATATTGCAGTAGGAATTTAATGACTTCTCATATGTTTGGAAGCAGGCATAAGCTGTCATTGTCCTGGAATACCTTGTTGTAACTCTTTCATTAACCAAGAGGCCACAAAATGCACTGTGCTCTATAGGAGTGAGATCGGGTCAGTTTCTGTTTAGTTACAACATGTAAGTCAGTGCATGGCTTTTAATTTGGAAGATGCTGTGAGCTAGCAGAGCTTAGAGGGTTTTTTCAGTCTTTCTCCATGCTGAACTTAAGTTGAACCTCATAGTTTCAGAATTCAGCCCTAAATCTGTGACACTGTGCCATTTCAAATTGTGTTAGTGCAGAATTTTGTTACATCTCTTTCAGTGTGTCTTTTTTTCCCCTTAAGGGGTGTCACAGCATTTTCAGAGGGCAGCAGAGAGCTCCCAGACCCATTGCTCATCTTGCACGCTGTCAACATAAATATATGATGTCCATGCTCTAGCTGGGAGTATACTGTTAAAGCAGTTCATTCTGCTTCTGTCTATGTAGTTTACTCCTAGGGTGCTTTCTTTTCTGCTTTTCCTTGCAGATGGATTTCTTTAAGTAGGTCTGTTTAGGAGCTGGTGCATAGCTTTGGCCAGTAAACAAGGAGTTCAGTTAGTTTCCACTTTCAGATGAAACTGTGTTGACAGCCAAATTAAACAGGACCTTAAAATTGCAAAGTCTTTTGTAGAGCCATTCTGATTCTCTCATGGAAATTGAATCATTATAAACAGTATCTTGAGAGCATCATTGTGATACGTATTTCATCAGACAGTACCTTCCGTGTGAATTAAATAAAGCTGACTATCCAAAACAGCAGTGAAGCAGAAATACTTTATATTTCAGCCCAATAAGGCTTGTGTCTCTAGGATTTATGACAGTAAATAGTCGTCTTTAGTAAGGACAGTGTTTTGTTAAATTGCAGTGTGGCTTCATTAGGAGCATCTACTGTAGCACCTGCCTGGTCATTGGCAGGGTTGTTAGAGCAGTGGAATGGAACCAAATCAAATCAAAACCCGCTTTTCATTCATTACCCCTTCTATTTTTTCCTGTGAAAAGGATGCTTAGGAGGCATAGACCTGATGAGATTTGTGATATTGATCTTCTTTGGGACAGTATTGCATAAAAGGATAATGGACCAAGCTGACAGAAAATGCAACAGAGGGATCATATCCAGCATCTCACAAATTCTTCCCTCTAGGTGTACATAAAATGCATGTAATGCCTTTCTTGTCTGCATTTGTTGAGCTGGTGCTCAGAACTTTGTACTCACTTGTGTTTGAGCTGGCAGTGGGAATTTGGGACTGGGGTAAAAGTGAAAGGCACCAGCCTATGGGATGGATGTAGAAGGGAGTAGTAAAAGGCAGCAGCAGTGATGACCAAGTGTGGAAATATTGAGTTTAAAGGCAGTATTAGCTGAAGAACAAATGGTTGTAAATTGGCCCGAATAAACCCAGTTGGAAGTTGGATTTCTCACTTCTGAATGGTGAGATTCTGGGATCACTTTCCAACGTGTTGGCAAATAAAGGAAAGCTGTTGTTGAAAAAGGATGGTTTGTGGTAAGATGTGAATAGGATTGAGAAGCAAAACAGTGGAGGGCTGGAATCAATATGAAGAGTTGTTCATAGATGCAGTAATTTGTGGGTAGCACAGCTTTCTTACTAGCTTTTCCCTTCTAACACTCTCTTCTCTTCGCTAGGCTGTTGACAGAACTTGAATCTCCTTCTTGGTGGCCATTTAGCAGCAAGCTCTGGAAAGCACCATTGGAAACGAAGCCAAAGGAAACTGCCACAGTTTCCGATTTGAAGAACCAGGAAGGAATCATAATTAGAATTCCAGTTATTATCACCCACAGAACAGACTCAAATGTGAAGCCAGGAAAACTCACGCTCTTCGCTTCTGGCCTGGAAATCAGTGACTGCAATTCTCAGGTCATTCACCGGTTTGAATCAAAGGATGTGGATGATATCAAAGTTCACACACCGTATGAAATCAGTGTCCGTCAGAGGTTTATTGGGAAGCCTGACACCTCTTACAGGCTCTTGTCAGCAAAGATGCCAGAAGCAATCTCTGTCTTAGAGATGCAGTTTAGCAAGAAGATACAGTTTTTAGAAGATGCTCTCGGATTTGTTGGTGCCAGGAAGTCTCCTCAGGTAGATTTTGGCACCTCCATTTGGCAAGCAGGTATGTGACAGACAAAATAATCCATCCATAATTGCTATTGCCAGTATGCAGTGTTTCTAAGTGGCTTTCAAATTCTGAATGGGATATAGTGTTTATAAGGCAAGGCATCTCTTACCCCCAACTCAGTAGTGAGGCCACACTGGTAACAAAACAAAGAGCTATTAGTTGACTTCATGCCTTTTTGCCAAGAGAACAAGGGTGAGGCTAGAGCTACCAGAAGTGCTGGGGACACTTGAATATGGTTGGATTTAGTTTCTCCCAATTGCACTAGCAAAACCTGTGACTCCTGATGCTGAAGCTGAGGTGTCTCTTGAGGGCCTGACAACTAGAATATGCCAAGCTGTCTTTAACACTGTAGTCTCAGCTGGTGTTTTCACCAACTCCACAACGGTTTGTGAAAGGATTAACTTAATTTGAGTTTCAACTACTGGGCTGTGTTTTAACTTTTGTGTCATTCTTTTTTCCTGTGGTCACCAATTCAGTATTGTGCTACTCTGGGGAAGGGTTGTTAGAAACCCATTCTCCTCTTTTGAGTGTGTGCTTCTGAGTCCTCTGCTGTTACTATTTTTCCTTTGGCAGTTTGCAACTGGTAGAAACATTTTATATTAAAGGTTTACAACAAACTTCCAGTCCAGCGAGTTTTCAAATAACTTAAAAGCCAGCATTTTTATTTCATAATAAGTGAAAATAAATGTATTTATTTAAGAAGTTCCATTGTTTAGATTTAGGAGATTTTAGGTTTCAGATCAGGTGAAGGCATAGTTAAAATCACTGTTAAAAAAAAAAACAACAATGTAGGTGGGGCTTCAACTCCTTCACAACAGTAAGAACAAAAACATTCAGCTATTGCTACTTCTAAAATCTTGGGAGGGTTGTGTTTTTGTTCATTTCTTGTTATCCAAACCTGGATTCATTTGAAAAGCTGATAAATTTTTGTCTGCTAAGAATTTATTTCTGTCAACATGTCCAAATCCTTTTTTCTCCTTATTGTTAGTGACCAAAGAGCAAATCAGTGGATGGATTTATTCTCAGTAAATTAAAAAAGTAGAAAAATTGCTAGACTAAAACAATAGGCAAAACTAATTATAAGCACAAAGCTACAACTGGATTTCAGCAGGGAGGATCATGTTCTCTTGTTGACGAGTCATCAAGGGCCATAGCTTGGAAAAGCTTGTTAATTTTTAGGGAAGTCAGTCTCTGGGCATTTGGCACTGAAGTGTTGGCACAACAGCTTAGAGGAAAAACAACCTGCTGGTTTCTTAAGCACTGAGTTATTCCAGCAAATTGGTGTTCAGTTCCTGATGGTCTTAAGCCCAGTTACATAAAATAATTGGTTATACAGCCCTACTGTGCTTAATTTCCCCACTGCTCTGCTCTGTTTGCATCTGAGTCAGTGAGTCAAGGATATTGCTCTCCTACCCCCACCTGCATTCTGGCTGTTTAATTTGGAAATGCCAGCAAAGCAAACGGGAGGTTATGGAAATCCTGACTTCTGCAGCTCCACCAAAACCCTTGTTTGTTCCTTCCTAGGAGACGGCTGCTGCCTGCCTGCTGTCACTAGATGGCAGTCACGGACTGTGCTTTACCCAATGCTTATTTTCCATGGCTGTTCACATGTTGCAAATACAGATGATGATGGTTATTATTGATCTGATTCCCTGCTAAAAGCAGGGGGGAGTATTCTGTGTTACGCACATCTGCTTTTGAGTCTGCATAAATTGTGCGTGTGATTTGAGGTAGCAAACATTGATTCAGAGGTGTAGTGGAGAAGTAGAGGTACAGCAAAGTGGCTGGTAGTGTTGTCTGCTGCATACAGTGCAGCTAAGGGATGTGAACATTACCACAACTGTCATAATCTTCTCTAGATCCTGTCTGCTTATACGAATCCTGCCTTAAAGCTGTGCATGTTGCACATTTGTATAAATAACTGCAACAAAACTGTTTTCCTTAAAAGTTTTGGCTTGATTTCACTTAAGGGCTTCACAGATTCCTATTCTTATACACACTAGATTATCTGAAACGACTTTCAACTACTTTGTACCTCTTTCCTGACTGTGTTTGTGTGTGTTTGTTTTTGGACCAAGCTGCAAATAGTGTTTAAATGCTGGAGGGAGCACAGAAAGGATTGTTTTGTAACAGAGGTTCTTCTGTGATAGATTAATTCCAGTACTTTCCTTGCCAGTAATGGTTGATAACAGTTCCCCTAGACTAAAAGGCACAAGAAATCTTACAGTGTGCTTGCACTGTAGCTGTCTAGGGCAGTGCTGTCTTAATCCTGTAGCTGGAGACTGGCATTTACAGCTTTAGATCCCTTTCAAAGCTGCTGCCTTTTCCCTGCTTAGCCACAGTGACTGTGTTTTCATTCTTAGGAGTTTACAGCACTTTGCTAGTTACCCTTGTGGATGTAACAGAGCTAAACAAAATTGCTTTACTGCTTTTCAAATATTTCTGCCTCTTGTTTTGTTTTGTTTGATACTAGAAATTGCTGAGAATGGTCAGATCTCCTTCCCCTCTTCATTCTTTCCATGACTTTGTCATGTCCCCCTCCTATTCTTGTCCTCAGAGCTTAATGGGAGTGAAATGAACAGATTTTTTGCTTTTAATGAAATAATTAGTGTGCAGGGACACTCAGCTGATAAGAACCACGCAGAATCTTGTCTGGCTGTTTGCTGCCATAGGAAGGTCTGTCATTCCCTCCCCACTTTCCCCTTTGAGGGAGCCCAGGACAATAACATACCATAAGCAGTGTTTTTTCAGTGCCTGGTTCCTATCCCTTCCAAGTACAAAGAGCATTTGCACAGGGTAACATAAGTACAATGAATGATTTGCTTGTCTTAAACCTTGACGGTGTCTGAGTCTAGTGACTCTCAGACTGATAACTGAATATGTCTAAGGATTAGGAGCTTGCAGTAATTACTTGAGAGGGATTTAAGGTTTGGTACTTTTTATTTAGATTTTGTCTCTGTTTCCATGGAGAAGTAACACTACCCCAGGGCAGTTAGGTGAATGCTGTCAGCCAGCCAGCTGGGCACCAGCTTGGGCCTGGCAAGGAGCTCTGAGTTGTGACACGCTTTCTGCCCTGATGTCCTGAAGATCTGCTCTTGTTGTCCTGCACAGGTCAGGCTGTTTGCTTGCAGGTGGCAGTGGTAGCATTAGCTTCCCTTCTTCTCAGTGCCACATTAAGTGGGAGCACTTTGGAGATGTCTGGAGTGCCTCTAGGAGCCAAGATGTGCGTCTTGGGTGTTTAGAACCCATCTGCATCAAAAATAACAACCTTTCCTTGCAGCACGTCCCTGCTACCCCACTGGGCAGTATCAGATAGTGCAATAGGAGCTGATGCTTTAAATAAAGGACAGGTGGCATGTTACACCAGGGACTGCATTCATGCTGCCTAGCTGGGGGTGGCTGTTAGCGTCAGTGTTGCCCTTCTGCTTCAGGGGTTCACTGGTTTCACTCTTTGGCTCTGTCTGTGGTCCATCATTTTTAAATTCTTTAATTAAAAAGATTAAAAAGAAGCAACGGGTGGAGATTCTTAGTTTATCTGATTGTAATTGCAATGCTGCTGCTTGCTGTCTGTTCATATGCATGTTCACAGCCCAAAATGAACTCGTTCTTCAGGTGCAGCCTTTAAGAACGGTCTTTCAGCAGCGTGCTTACTTTCAGTTTGGGCATTGTACAAGATACAGCTTGAATCCTTTCTTAGAGAACTTGGCTCAAAAAGCAAGGATGGGTCTGGTGTATCTGAATGAGCTTGTCCTCTTGCAGACTGCTACAGAGCAGAGTTCAGCCTGTTTGGTTCTGCATTAGCGTTCCCTGTCAGAGGATGGCAGTCTTTGACCATGGGAATTTCTCTTTCAGCCACAGGACTCCTGGGAGGAGTGGTGCAGCCCAGCTCTCCAGTGGGAGGCAGAGAGGGAACGGACAGTGACCAGGTTCAACTGCAGAAGCATGAGAAGATCTCTCAGGAGGAGGCAAAAGAGCTTAAACAGGTATAAGTCAAGATAACTGACTTGGTTTGCTCCCTCCTTATCCTTAGCAACGTGCATTTTCTCCCTTCATCAGAAATGTAGTCACAGAATCATAAGGATTGGAAAAGGACCTCTGGAGGTCATCTAGCCCAACACTCCTGCTAAAGCAGATTCCACGGAGTCAAGTAGTAGTCATTGCCCTTAACAAAATATTCTCCTCCCTAAACTTAAAATAAAATAAAATGTCTATCAAGCTTGTGATTAAAATACACTGACAACTTTCTATTTGTTCTTAACTATTTTGGACAAACTGGAGATTATTGGCAGAATATATCAAAGAGAGGGTTAATAGCACAAGGCAAATCTTTAAATTTAACCTGTTTTATCTGAAGACTAAGAAGATTAGCAGATCATTTTTAGCTTCTTTTGTGTTTTTCCCTTTGCTATTTTATTCCTTTTGGTGAGGAGTAGTAGTTCTGACAAGAAGTGCTCTGTTCAGTTTTGTGAATGTTTCCAAACTAGATGAGTATTGCGAGCACACAGCAATGAATTAAGCAACTAAAAATGAAAATGTCTTGCAATATATTCATAGATAATCATGAAAAGTAACCAAAAGATAAGTGGGTAGGTGAGAGTTTAACCTTTGCAGAAATTTTCTGTTTGGGATGGTGGACTAAAAGCCATGTTAAATGGCCAGTGTTATTTAAAACAAAACCCTGTGATGATTAACTGAAGTCTGAGAGACAATTCTGGTATTTATTTATACTGCACCAAGCTGAGAATTTTTAAACCAGTTAATGATTTGGGGTAAACTTGTGGGTAGGGGTGGGTGGGGAGAGGATCTGAATGCCAAATTGACAGCCTATGAATTGGCCTGATTTTTTTTTCCCAGTAATTGCTGAGCACCTGTTCCTTGAGAATCAGGCCTCTTTAATCATCATTCCACTCATTAATAGTTTTAAAATACATTCAGTAATGCCTATTAAACTCCTGTTCATTTTTCCTCCTAGAAAATGCCTCATAAGTGTACCCTTTTAGACCCAAACTTGCTTAATTAACCAAAATAATCAAGATCTTTTGACTGAAATACCTAATTTGGGCTTTTTCAGAATCAGAATGAACTAGTCACGTTCTAATTGCTTTCTCTTTTCCTCAGCTCTTCAAGAGCTCATTTCTGTGATCTGTCACTTTATCAAAAAATAAGCATTTTCTGATGCTGCGTTGACCTTTTGGAGGGTTTTGAGAGACTATTACTCAATCAGAGTTGTACAAATATCAGCAATCCATTAATCATTTGTACACGGACTTTGTGCAGCTATTAGGTATTCAGAAGGGCTAGTTGTTCCTCTCTTAAATGTCAGCTTTTCAGCACTATAATTCTAATTTGCAGCCAGACCCAAGAAAGCTGAATATTATTATAGTAAGGGTTATTGGTCATGTTTTTGAAGACACACATTTTGCTGTATCTTGCAAGAAAAAAAGACTCTCTAGGAATGGCTTCCCCAGAGCCAGTTCTTGAGAGCTGAACAGCAGACAACCTTGGTCAGTGCTTGATGTTATCAAAGCAGCTGGCTGTGAATAGAGGAAATGTATGACAGGGAGAGTTCAGCATCTTCCGGCAAGCTGTGTGAACTGGGGATGAAGCCTCCTATCTAGTACAGACTGTTTCTCTCTAGTTGTTCCCAGGAATTCTCCAATACACTGCTTTTTCTCAGTGCTCTGGAGCTTAAAACAGAATCTTCTAACTCTGTGGTGAGAGGAAGGAGGTGTAAACACAAAGAAGGAAAGTGTGATCAAAAATGAGTAGAAGTGGATTTCAAAGGTGTGGTGGAGGTTGAGGATCAAGGGCAGCATCATGGTAAGTGCTGCACAGAGACTTCTAGGTATTGAGCCCCTACTGTTAGGGAGGGGAAGGTCTTGTAACTACATCCAAGAGGGACATTTAAGTCCATAAGTCATTTCAGCCCACAGCAAGAACTTGTCTTACATTGTTGCAGCTGCTTTCAGGGAGTCTCTGCACCACTTCAGCTCTTGCTTTGTCTATCAACAGCAAAGCATTTAGAGATCAGGTAGTGGAAATAGTTACGAAAGCAATATGTTAACATGCATTGAAGTCTATGACATTTGCCACATCACACTTCGTGGGTGAATTAAGCGTGTTGGAGGTTCATTTGTTTAACCATAATGCTTTTTTTCTGAGCAGTTTGCTTTATTGGAGATTCTTTGGTTGTCTGTAATGCAAGCATTTTTTTTAATATTAAAAAAAAAAACACCACAAAACAGGGCCAACACCCAAGAACCAAAACAAAGTCACAAAGCCCAGAACAGTTGTGCTATGTTCACCTTATTATGTGTGTCACCTAAGTATTATTATGTGATTAATAAGTGGAACTTGCTGAATTGGAGAAGAGAGATTTGCAATGTGCAGATTAACTGTTGATGTCTCTTCTCCTCTCCTTCAAAAAAAGGAAAAAGTAGTTGCCATGATAATAACAGTTATTTTGCAGAAGGAATTGTTGAATGATGCTAAATTCCTCCCATTAGAGCTGGAAGCGCTGGATGGTCTGCGGTTGTGACTGGGTGCCTGAGTAAAAGACCTCACCAGGACATTTGTGTTGAAAACGCAGTTTTTTTAACGTAATACAGAGTGGTGATGTGAGCTGCGTTCCTTAGCTGTGCTATAGAGATGGAGAAAGAAGCCTGCACAGTTCCTGTGGTCTCTGGCTGAGCCTCTGCCTACCGCCTTGCTGTGGCTGACATAATGGCAATGGGTGTGGGAGGGGATGCAATAATATTAGCTTAAGAGGAGGGGGAGTAGTTCTGTTCTGTAGATTTGGATTTGTTTTGCCAAGCCGATGTTTTCTAATTTCCTAAACTCTTCCTGCCAAAGAACTGTTGTCTTGATATTTAGTGTGTCTGCACATTGTGTATGCCATGAAGACAGATACTACTAAAGTTAATTCCACGACATCTGGAAAAACATCACATCCCAGTGCATATCTTTAGCATTTACTTCCTAGATTATTCTATTTCAATCTTTTGCTCTGTTCAGAGACTCTTGTGTGTTTAGTTACCCTTCTATCACGCCTTCATCTCAGGAAGTCACAACCGTTAGGTCAGAGAAAAAGCGTTTTGTTGAGGAGCTGTTCACTCCAAGAGCTAAATTCCAAATTTGCTCATAAGATGGCCTCGTTCCATGGGCAAGAGCAAGCAACAGGCAGCTGATCTAAGCAGCCGTGTGTCATGATAGTGCCCTGGATTTTGTTTATGAAAGCACAATCTGCAGAAAGAGCTGAGGTCCTTGCAACAGTTGCTATGTATTTGCTTGTGTGTAACTTAAATGTTTCATGGTACTAAAATAAAAGGTGATAATGAATCCAGTGAAACTGGCTTTGTCACAACTGCTTGAATATGTATATATATTTGTGTCTAGATGAGACCAGTGGTATTCCAGTGCCACCCTCAGTGCTTTATACTTGGGGGCCCTGGGCAGCCTGGTCTAGTACTAAATGGGGAGGTTGGTGGCCTTGCCTATGGCAGGGGGTTGGAGATTCATGATCCTTGAGGTCCCTTCCAACCCAGGCCATTCTGTGATTCTCTACTCCCAAGTAGCAGAGAAAGAAGATAAAATTAGATTTCTATATCAGTTCAGGAAGAAATAATGGGGAAATCAGACACTAAGGATAAGGTAGTAAATAAGCAGTGGCCTTCTCATTCTGTTCTAATAGCCACTGACAGCAATGTAAATCCATATTTTTTTGTTGTGAAAGTTCCTCTTGTTACATGAGGCTTTGACAAATCTCCTTTAGTGGATTATACTGCAGTGGTATAGCAAGCTGTTATTCCTTTCTGCCTGCCAGCTCTGCTCCAGATGCAGTAGGAGAGGATGTCTGCAGGCCCCTTATTTCAGTGCACACCACTCACTTCCTAATGTGGGTCTGAGCTTATAATGATACTTCAAATTAGACTGTCTTAAGTGCTGTCCCAGTTTCCAGCTTTCTGCCAGCGTGTTCAGCACAGAGGTGAAGCATCATGTGAAAACATTACAAGTTATGATCATCAAAACCTCTTTTTACACCACAATTCAGAATACTGTAAGTGACAGTCCATTGCTTCCTAACAGGTGAATTTGGCCTGGGAGCCTGCATTCAAGAACCATTTCTGGTTTTCTATACTCTGCTTTAGCGTTCAGCCCTCATTTGAGCTGCACAGGGAAAGTGAAATGGATTAATTGAGAATTTCAGAGAGTTCAGACTCGATTGGCAATACTTTCTGCACTCTGACACTTTTTGTATCTTATTCTTACCAGTGGATGCTCGGTGTATTGAGGTGCTAAATCATATTTCACAAGCCTTAGATAACTGTGTTATGGTGACATCTGGGGACCTAAACTGAGGTCAGGTCTCTGTGGTAATACCTTTGGCATACAGTCTTTGTGTGGTTGATGCTCTGAGTTTAGACATCAGGTGATGTGACAAAGTGGTAATAGGATTAAGTACTGAGGAAGATCCTGGGGGCTTGGAGTCCTCTGCTGTCATTCCAGCTCTATCTGCATGGAAATTATTTGCAGCCTAGCTGATCATCTCAGCTCCTCATTCAGCAGAAGGGAAGAAATGGGCAGTAGTTGAACTCCTTGAACAGATAAGTTAAATCACAATCTCAGTTGCATTGCCCAGGTTCCCACAAGTTTCATGAGAATTCAGGGTTGCATAGCTCACGTGGGCACTGTTCATAAAGCAAGGCATAAGTCTGCAATAGTTGAACACTTGACACAGGGAATATTTGTTTTATAACTTTATTAATTAACAGCCTGCTAAGACAAGCAGTGCATATGCAGATCTTTCAATGACTTAGCATACTGCATTGAGTTTTTGGGACGTATTTGCATTGCTGTTTTTTACAGTGACAATTTTACACATGGGAATTCTCGGTAACTCACCTGAAGTGCACAGAAAACGTGTGGCAGACCCAGAGAACAAGTCAGACTTTCCAGATTGTAATACGGTGACACAAATCTGAGGCTGTCTCATTGCAAGATTTACCAGTGCCTGATGAAATATGCCTTTAAAATGCATCTTTGGTGGGATTGTACCTGCCCATCTGCTTTGTGTAACAGATTGTGATTGGTTCGTGGCTCAAAATATGTAGAAGGCACTGCTGCTATGAGCAACTGACAGAACTGAAGCAGTGATAGCTAGAAGTCTTGCCATCATTTCACTTTGCAAAACGAATGACCAGTTTTGGCCAGATATCAGATTCCAGTAACTTTTTCCATCGAGCTCTGTGGGCTGTGTGGGGAATGCATCTTAATACTTTCAGATCCCTTTGCATGAAGTAGCAATGCTCATCTTGAACGGTCGAAGCTGTGCTGGACAAAAGGGTTAAGAGATTTATTACCAGACTGTTTAAGGCAAAGAGAATGAGCAGATGAAAGTGAGCTGCTTGCCTTTTATTTTTTTGTGCAAGTATAACCACACAGTCATCGCCTGCTGTGTTTCAAAGCAGAGTATAATTGGCAGGTGGACTGAGCAGAGCACTGTAGCTGACTGAATTTCCATTTTACTGCTTTCGTATTTTAAAAGCTTTTCTGTTCTCAACAATTGTGTCTTTTTCTGTATTTTAAATGTTGAGTATGCTCTAATGAATGCGAAGCCTATCAAAAGTAATCGGGTTTAGAACTAAAAATAAAAATGTTTTTCATGGCGAACCTGGGCCTTTTTTTGGCAGAGCTGTGACTTATAAATAAATTGTATGCTTTTTGGAGAAGTGGGAAGGGGAATATCCCTACTCCTTTTCTGCATCCTTTTGTGCCAGCACCCACCTTTGTGTTGGTGTCATGGAGGAAGCACTGGTCTTCTGCACTCACCTCAGCAGATCTCACAAACTGGGATAGGCTTAGTGAGGTCGTGAATCATGAAAGCTGAGCTTCCCGTGCTGCAGTGTGCAAGGACATGTTGAAAAAGAGGAGAGACTTCACTCCTAAATTATCATCGGGATTGGAAGATTCATTGGTGTGGAGTCTGAAACCTGGTAGGCACTTTGAACGTGAAGGCTGGCCCTGCTGTAAGCCAGGAGAAGTGGACCAGAAGGCCTTTAGAGGTCTCATCCATTCTTAATTATGCTGTGATATGAATGCAAGGCTGCAGTCAGTGTTGCTTGGTAGGATTTATTCTGTGTGGCACTGTCCACCTTATACATAAATATCAGAAATTCAAAGCAGGGACTGAGGTGGAAACATGTTCTAACTTCACAGGTCCAGGTAGTTAATTCCTTAGGAGGGGCAAGACCACATCTCAGCCCCATTTCCTGGATCACACACAGGGTAGAATTGATCATGTTATTTTTCTTTTTGGTGCATGTCCTACACACATCTACTATCTGCAGTCTGGGGAATTCAGCCTTGCTTTACTCTTACAATGGTAGGAACCTGAAGTGTTTCATTCAGGATTGAAGCATAGTTTTCTTCACTTGTAGTTTTGGTTAGAACAGAAAAAGGTAGATTAGGCTTGATCCATGGTTTGCTTTGTATTTTTGCTTTAGCATCCAAATTGCAAAGCCTGTTATTCACACAGCTGTATTTCTAGCTGCTTGTGATTTATTGAAAGAGCTGAGAGATATTTTATGAGATAAATCCCACTATTGTGGCTGACATCCAGCTTTAGTCAAAGAATTCTGACTGCATAAAATTCCCCTGCCATTCCAGTTAGATATAATATTCCTCACTGCTTTTCTCAAACCAGTAACTTACCTAGCTTCAAACAGGGGGATTGCTATGGAATTCAGTCCCATCTGTGGAAATAGGGGCTGCTGACATTTCATAGCAGCTTTCTGAGGGCTGATGCTTACTCTAAAAGAAAAGCTGCTCTGTGGTTCTATGAAAAACAAGAACTGAGTTTGCCAGTTATGAAATCAATAAAATAATAGTTAAATTGGTGTATAGAGTATAATTCCTTGTCTTATTTTACCAAAAGCCACAGATGTATTGTGAACTACACAGCCTATAGTTTTGGTATCTTCAGTGACATTATGTAGCTGCTTATGTACCACAGCAGTTGATGATGTGGACTGTTAGAGCTGATAGTTTTTTTTTCTTGTGGGTTTTTATTCAATTGCTCATATTAATCAGGCAGTGTGGAGCTGGCTGTGGATGCCTAAGGAGGCAGATCATATAGACCAGTAGTGATAGCAGATTCAGCCCCTTTATAATCTGAAGGATTTGAGAGGTTGCGTTTCCAATTGATCTAATGTGGCATAGGTCTGCTTTTCAGATCTCCCTTAGAGAGTCAAGGGGAAGGCAGCTGAGTCTTGCCCATCAGACAGGTGCTTTAAGTTCATACCACCAGGCTTATTAAGGGAGTAGCCAGAAGTGAGAATAAAAGGTGGTGCTGTAACTCATGCCTTGAGAGTGCTGCTGAAAGGAGCACTCTCCTGAAAGGTGTTACAGATCAAGAAATGAAGATCATAAAATCATTAAGGTTGGAAAAGACTTCTGCGATCACCAAGTCCAGCCTCAGCCCATCACCACCATGCCAGGTAAACCAACTTGCTCATCTACACATTTCTTGATCACTTCCAGAGATGGTGGCTCTGCTGCTTTCCTGAGCAGCCTCTTCCAATGCATTGCTGCTCTTTGTAACTCTGCTATTGGAATCAGTTATGTGAACCAATGACAGCTGAAGTTTAATAGGTCTAAAAGGTCAGCATAGGGCATTGTTACAGATGTCATCTTCCCTAAGGAATGCATCAGGCTGGCTTTCTGCTTTCACTTTTGAGGCTTCAGCCCTTTATGGATTAGTATCAGCTTTTTCAGACTACGGAGTTTCTTGGTCATTATGGAGTAGCTCAGGGTGTTTGCTCACATTCCCACATACAATTGCTAAATTGTTAAGTGTATTATAAATTGGCTGGTTGGTTGTATAATGTTTAGAGCCTGGAAAAGAGTTGTTGGAGGTACAACAGTTGTTCCTCATTTTCTTATCTGAATATACATCCCAGGGTCCAGAGGGAATTAGATGATATGATTGCCAAGCCACACTGTCATATTGGAAAATTCACGGTGATCAGGCAAAGTTCCTGGTGTCTGGATAAAGGGAAGCATCACTCCCATTTTAAAATGGGAAGGAGGGAAGGTCCTATTAACTTCAGACCAGTCAGCCTTATCTTTGTGTCTGGGAAGATTGTGGAACAGAACCTCCTGGAAGTCATGTCAAAGCACACGTAAGACAGGGAGGTGATTTGAGACAGCATAGCTTCACCAAGGGCAGACTGTGCATGACCAGTCTGGTAGTCTTCTACAATGGAGTGACTACATCAGTAGAGAAGGGAAATTTGTCCAGAGCACTTCAGGGGATGACTACAAATTATTTGGTCATTCAGAGCAAAGAAATAAGTAACTGCCTTGTGTCTGTTACGTTGTCCAAGAACCGTATGGTTTTTTGCTCCAAGCTCTCAGTCTTTTCTTCCAATAGATACTGAAGAAGTTGAAGAGCCTTGCATTGGAGACAGAAGCAGAACTGGAGAGACAGGACGAAGCTCTGGATTCCATCACTACCTCCGTCGACCGTGCGACGCTGAATATCGACAAGCAGAACCGCAGAATAAAGAAACTGACGTAGCACCCATAGGAACCAATGGGGATGGCATCACGAGGAAGAGGGGATCAGGGAATTGTGGAATTGTCTTTTTAAAGACTGTTTCTGTATGGACGCTTTGTGTGGGAGCTGCTTGCGATGTTGTCTGGAGTGTGGTACGGTTGATGTCAAGTTTCTGAGAGTTCTGAACATGTCTCCAGACTTGGATGATGATGGTTGGCTGTTTTAGGATGAAAAAGGCCAAATCTTTTAATCACAGTGAAACAATGATAGTGGATTCTTGACTACAGAAAATCTGTAAATACAAAGGGATTTCATCTGAATGAACTTTTATGCTGCTTCTTACGTTGTTGCTTTTGAAAGGTTTGTTGTTGTTTTTTTTTGTTTGTTTCAACAAAGAAGGGAGAAATGAACTGCATGTGAGACTACTTTAGATGATTACAACCTATTAATTCTCTATTTCTTGCAAATAGTTAATAGCTGAACTGAGGGCCAGATGTCCAACCGCAAGTCATTGAGGCTTTTTTGTGTGTGTGTGAGTTAATGCTGAGGTGAGCAAATGATGGTGATAAAACTTTGTGTTCACTGAACGAGTAGTTTTAATAAATTTCAAACGTATTTTTAATGTGCTCAGAAATTTTATAAGAATAATGAAGGATTAGTGGCCACAGCTGTTGTGCCATGTTCAGGGAAATCAAGGGAAGAATTTTAGTTAATATGCATGCACTGGTACAGACACTGACTTACTGAAGCATTTCTTTCCCATTGGATGAATATTTTGCTTACTTACAAGAAGTAAGTGTCAAAGTTAAATATTTGCTGCTTCTTTCCAAAGAGGGATTGCTGATCTTGATGAACACCTACACCTTTTGCTTTATTTTTCACCTTTGTACCTCAGAATTAATGAAGGAATTGATTCTGGAGTGAAGGAAGGTATTTTTTCATGGATGGATTTATTCAGTGCATCTCTTGTAGTTTGCTGTGTGTATTGCTCTCTTGCACACAGTGGTTTTGTATTTTTGATAATGGTCTGAGGGATTCAGTGTCCTCAGAACATCATGAACATAGCATTCACTTAGTGTGGTGCCTGCTTACTTTGTTGGACCTGGGCTGCCACGTCTCATGGAGGCTAGTGGAAGGCATCTTGTATCTTTGCATCTCTACCTTCAGTTTCCAGGAATCTCCCATGCACTTTTCTCTGACTCTAAATGGAACCTTCATGTGTTCTGGGGGGCATCGTTTGTTTTTTGTGCATCTGCTCCACATTCATAGGTTGAGAGGCCAATGGCTGGAACCACAGGCACCTGCATATCATTTGGCTGTTGTGCATCTGTCTGCCTTCTGATTATTATTTATTTGCACTAACTGGTGATGAGACATTTCAAGACTTCTTTTACTTCTACATTTCTAAAATAAAAGGGAATATTGCCAATAGTTTTCTAGTAGATTTTGTTTACAGTCAGTTCCACTGAGTCTACAGGACAGCAGAGATGTTTTCCTAACTTACTGGATACTGTATTGGAGGGATTCTAGGTAATGCAGCCTATAACAGACTATTTGAAAGGCAGGATTACTTTTCACCTCCTATTTCATTGAATCCTGCTGTTGGCAAGCTATTTTCATTCAAAATAGCTGTTGTAATCTCTTCTTTTTCTCCCCCAAGTGTTTTTGTATTAAAAATATCTTCTTGTATTGCTCTCAAATACAACCTGTAATATTTTTAAGTAGTGAAGCTTTGAACTGTTTATTCTGATAGCTGATGTGAAAATTTCCTGTTTCAGAGTAATTCAGCCTACTTTATAAAGAAATGCAGAGTAGATCCCGTAGAGTATGTTGTTTTCGAGACCTTACTCTACCTTGTTTTGTATTGCTTCATATTAGCTTATTAGTATTGGAGGAAGTCGTGCTTCTGCACTGCAAGTCCTTCATTTACAGTCAAAGTTGTTACTGGCACGCACTTTACCTATTTGCTGAATATATATACATACACTGTGTAGTGTGAAACAAAGTATTGTCTGGGATTCTCTTTTTTTGTTTGTTTCTGATACCTAAATCACTGTTGTTTTACTGTGAAAGTATGTTTACATAACTATGTCATGAATTTAAAAATACACCTTTGCACAAAATATATATTAACTGACCCTGGTGCTGACTGGGAATGGATCTGTACACTGAATTAGTTTAGATCAAGACTGCCAAAAGCAAATGCTAATTACACAACATTTAGCTTAGCATTCTTTGTGCCATATTTTTACTGATGTAATTTTTATCATGAGCTGTTGCATCTGATACCATATCTGTGATTTGTGTTAGTCTGTGTCCATGCTAAAACAAAATTGTAATATGGTTTGTAAGTAGTGACCCATTCCAGAAATGTACATTGACCTCCTAGCTGAGTTTCAAATGCCTGGAGGAGTTTCACTCTGTAATTTATTAAATATATTGGACTGGTATCTTCTGTCTTGTATTTATTTGACTAAGAAGTTATGATGGAAAATGCTCCATCCTCTGCCTTTTCCTACCGTGGAACAGAACATAAAACTTCTCATAGGGCTATGTTTTAAGATAGACGAAATATAAACTGATGGAATGTTAGCAACATGATTATAGAATCATAGGATGATTAAGGCTGGAAGACCACTAAGATCACCAAGTCCAAACCCAACCTACCCCCACTGTGCCCACTGACCCGTGTCCTCAAGTGCCACATCTCCAGGTTCTGGAACGCCTGCAGGGATGGTGACTCCCATCACAGTGATCACCCATCATCAGCTGGACAGAGAGTTGGATGAACAGGATGAACAAGGTATGTGGTACTTGGTACTGTCCTAGAGGCTGGTGTGGAGCAGTTGCTCCAGCTTTTAGATAATGGACTGAGAACTGTTTGGATTCTTCATGCTTGAACAGCCTCACGGTAAGCAAGTATAGAGACTTTACTCTGGTCAAATCTTAATGTATGATAATTTGGTCTCTGTTACAGCCAGAAGTGCTTAGAAACTCCTGAGTATCCTGCCTGAGACCCAAGTGATGTTTTCCAAACAATGTCAGTGAGGGAAGATGCAGCAGGTATCACACAAGACAGTATTGTTGGCCTTAATTCCTCATTGACACAACTGCTATTTACAGTAAAGCAGTTGGACTTTTAAGGTAAATCAGGCCTTTTACATATGTGGTTTGTAAGGTCTTTGCATATCTTAGTAAAAGTGTGTAAAGCTGTAGTGTGTAAAGCTGGGGGTTCCATCGTTAATAGGGACGTGATTGGTAGGCATGGTGGGATGGGTTGATGGTTTGACTTGATGATCCTGGAGGTCTTTCCCAACCTTTTTTGTTTCTGTGATTAAGAAGCTGAGAAGTAATGCTAGGGAGATTATAATTATGAATAGATTTTACTTGAGAAGGCTTTTTGGCTCACACAGGGCAGAACAAGATCGTGCTGTGTCTCAATGTGACTTCATAATCCAGTGTCTGTGGCAGTGATGAGTGAGCCTGAAATAGCTGCAACTTAAATGTATTCCTGCATGAGAGTGTGAATGTCCCTGGTGGAATGGCTGAATCCTGGTAATAAACAGGGCACTCTGCAGCCCTCAGACGGGTGGTGTAAGGAGCTTTTTCAGGCAATTAAGTAATTGAACTAAAGCCTCATAATAGCTGTCTGTTTCCAAAGCCAATGCTTTGAAACCACTGGTTTGCTCCTTATGGAAGGAAATGGGGCAAGTGTTGAAGCCAGCCTCTGGGAGAGAAACGGACTGTATTTAATTTTTAACGTGGCAAACAGTGGCAGTGGTATCCCTTTGCCTCTCGCTGTGTGTGAGCAATATCAAACCTCAGCCTGGTATAGGGAAAACTCATTTCATGACTGTGCTAGTCATCGGTTTAACAGCTGGCCTTTGCAGAGTAAATAGTGCTTGGCTTCCACACCAGCATGTCTGCAGCTCAGCACGGGGCTCCTGCTGGGGCTGCTGGTCTTGCCCATCCGTGCATCCCAGCTCAGTGGGGCTTTGCCCACCAGTCCAGCTCCCTGTGACAGCAGCACAGCATCTCCTCACCCACCCCAACCTGTGCTGCCACCGGCGAGCGCTTTGCCTTGTCAAGGTAAATGCAGTGCTTGGGCCAGCTGTGTGTGAGCCAGGAGGCAGCAACTGCAAAATAAGCACCCTGCATTCAAGCTGCCTCCTGTTTGAAGTGGAACAGTGTTGGCTTAATGGTTTAAAAGTTCAGCCTGGCTTGTGTCAAGTGGTTTAATTTTAAACCCGCAGATTTTAACCCCTTTATGATTTGGCAGTAGGGGAGTTAAAAGTATTGAACATCAAAAAAAAAAAAAAAAACTTGAGTTTGGGCATGATTCTGAATTGTTCTGATTGTTTACTAAGACTTTAATTACATCCTGGATAGTGCAGGCTGGGGGAAATAAGGGCTGAAGACAGACAAATGGATGATGGTATCAGGAGCTGTTAGGATGAGAGGTAATGAGGGGCTCAGGTTGGTTATTTGGAAAAATTTTATCTGAGAAGGAGTGGCAATGCACAGCAGCACAGGCTGCCCAGGGAGGTGATGGGGTCACCATCCCTGGAGATGTTCCAGAACTGTGGGAATGTGGCACAGAGGGATGTGGTCAGTGGGCATGATGAGGTGGGCTGGGGTTGGACAAGGGAATCTTAGTGATCTTTTCCAATCTTAATGATTCTGAGTCTATAAGCTATCACTTTATAGCATGCAGCACACCAGCTCCCTCTGGAAATCCCGCAAGGCAAGACCTGCCTTGGCTCTTTTCACAATAGCTGAAGCATTGAGCCACAAGGATACTTTTGGGGGGTGGGACAATGATAAGTAAGAAGAAGAGCAGTGAGTCTCTTGCCTCTGAGAAGGACGATATGGATTTGGGTGTAACTCTGGTTTTGTTGGCTGAAAATTTGTTGAGGAGCTAGCAGCAAGGAGTGAACTTTGGATAACTGGGTTATGTCGTGACACAGAGGGGAAACAAGACTTGAGATTTCTGGAGAAGGAAATCCACTGGGCTGGGTGGGATGGAGCCACTTCAGAAATGAGAAGGGAAATCAAAACGAGCAATGAGAGATGGGAGATCTGCCTTTAGTTTGGCAGGATTTCATTTCTAGGAGTGCTATTGGCTGGCAGAGCTCTTGTTCATGTTGGGCATGGGTCTTTCCCTCAGTGTTTGAACTGCTCTTTTATAACATGGCAATAACACTTTCTCATCTCTCTGGCATCCCAAAAAAGCTAAGAATCTTGAGCCATTGACATTTTTATTAAGGATCTGCCTGCTAGGAAGCCTATGACAAACTATAGCGTTTTATATGATTTTAAGCTCAAGGAGGAACAGTTTAGACTGAATTTCATGGGGAAGTTCTTCACAGGGTGGTGAGGTGCCAGAACAGGCTGCCCAGACAGGTTCTGGATGCTCCATTCCTGGAGGTGTTCTCAGGAGAAAGATCATCTTCTAATACATGGTGAGGCTCATGAGGCTTTCCATCACATAGTGTTTATCATAGGCTCACAAAACACTGCTGCTTGACTGCACTTTTAGTTTAGGCAATGAATGGAGGAATTGGAACATATCATGGCAAGACCATGGCATTGAACACCCTGGAGGTGTTCAAGGCCAGGTTGCATGGGGCCATGGGCAGCCTGGTCTGGTATTAAATGTGGAGGTTGGTGGCCCTGCCTGTGGCAGGGGGGTTGTAGATTCATGATCCTTGAGGTCCCTTCCAACCCAAGCCATTCTGTGATTCTGTAAAGACCTCAAAATTCCAATTTGTGTGCAAAGTTGATAATTAAGAGAAATTTATATTCAGGTACAGCTTGATGAGGAACTTCCCCTGTGATCTTCCGTGTGCATGGAAATGTTCAGTGCCTCAATTCTTGTGTGGTTAGCTGGTTGTTACAGTTGATCTTTTGCCTGTCTGTAAGATACTTAATGGTAAACCTCTGGGATAAGAAATCACCTGCTCATTTGTAAACATTCAGCAAAGTAGGTCTGTAATATGAACAACAATAAGCTCAGCTGAGCTATTAATAAGTTTTAATGAGCTTAGCTTTTCTCTGAATGTGGCAGTGAAAGTCAAAATGAAGTCCTTAAAAAGTGGCCATGCTCTTCGCTCAGGACTCCCACAAATTGTGATGCAGTTTTTTTCCATTCATTGCTCTGTTCCTTGCAGCATTTGATACTGAAGGAAAGCTTGTATATTGAAAGATGACTTGTGAATTAGCGTTGAAGAAGAGCAATGAAAGTTTGATGTGACCAAGCAGCAGTGCTAATATTTGTCTTCAGACTATTTGCTACTCCTGTGTGAGCTAGCTTTGACTCTTCAGATGTCTAGTGATCGTGTTAGGTTTTTTGAGTTGCAGCTGTGGGAAAGAGGAGAGTTTGTTTTGCTGGACTCTCAAGAAGTATTTTATAGAGGCAGAACTTTCTCTTGCATGCTAAATGTTCCCATTGCACTGGGATTCCAGGAAGAAAGAATCACTTTATGGTATAGTTCATCTTTCTTTCAAGGCTGATATGTAGCCAGGATTCCTCCTGTTTGATTTTAGAAATGTAACCACGGTGCATGGGTTGTCATCCCGTGTCCCCCGTGTGATTGTGGGGGGTGTCATGGAGAGAAACTGGCACTACTAGTCTTTCTTCTGGCTCAAATGCTCACCAGAACGACCACCCACTGCTTCCACAGCTGCCTACAAAATGCTGTGCATGATAGCTATATCCCACTCCTCTTTCATAGGTAGGGAGAAAGGTAGGGAGCTGTGATGCGCTACTGTCTCCTCGCCTTCCTTGTTCTGATCTTTCCAATTTCCATTCAGCCTCCTCCAAACTGAATCAGATAATCATAGAATCAGACAATCATTTAAGTTGGAAAGGCCTTCAAGAACATCAGGTCCAGCCATCAGCTTGATGTACTGAGTCTCATCACTAAGCCATGTTCCTTAGTTCCTACATCCATGTTCCATGTTCCTACATCCACACCTCTCTTAAATACTTCAGGGATGGTGACTCCACCACGTCCATTCCAATGCTTGACTGTCCTCTCTGTGAAGTAGTTTTTCCTATTGTTCAATCTAAACCTTCCCTAGCACAATCTGAGGCTGTTTGTTCACATCCTATCACTTGTCATTTGAGGAGAGAAACTGACCCCCCACCTCACTACAACTTCCTTCTGGGTCACCATAGGGAGTGATGAGGTGTCCCCTCAGACTCCTTTTCTGCAGACTAAATAAACAATCCCAATTCCTCAGAACTCTTTTTTTTTCTGGTCTCTCCACCAACTTCATTGCTCTTCTCTTCATATCCATGAGCAACACAACATCCTTCTTCATATAATCCTCACAGTTGGAAGGGACCTCAAAGGCCATCTGCTCCAACTCCCCTGCAATGAACAGGGATGCCTACAGCTCCATCAGGTGCTCAGAACCCCATCCAGCCTGACCTTGAATG